TCTCCCTGTCCCGGTCAGTATAACCGAGTCAGCGAATTAAATACTGTGTCCCTGTCCCAGTCAGTATAACCGAGTCAGCGAATTAAATACCGTGTCCCTGTCCCAGTCAGTATAACCGAGTCAGTGAATTAAATACCATGTCCCTGTCCCGGTCAGTATAAGCGAGTCAGTGAATTAAATACCGTGTCCCTGTCCCGGTCAGTATAACCGAGTCAGTGAATAAAATACTGTCTCCTTGTCCTGGTCAGTATCACTGGGTCAGTGAATTAAATACCACACTCCCTCAGCACTGACCCTCCGACAGTGCGGCGCTCCCTCAGCACTGACCCTCCGACAGTGCCCGCTCCCTCAGCACTGACCCTCCGACAGTGCGGTGCTCCGTCAGCACTGACCTTCCGACAGTGCCCGCTCCCTCAGCACTGACCCTCCAACAGTGCGGCGCTCCATCAGCACTGACCCTCTGACTGGGTAGATCGACACAGGCCACGTAATGGTAATTTGTTTCAACTATGTGAAATCACTGATAACTCTTGCAATAATTTTGGAGAATGCTTTTGCTCAGAGGAACTGAATGTTTGGAAATGTGTAACTGAGAGCCGATGATCAGTTTATGAGTGCGGTTAAGCTAGGGAATGAATAACCTTTGACATATAGTCACGTGCAGCGCTATGGGAATGGTGTGTGGCACAGTATCTGATTGTTCGATCAAGCAGGATCGTATTGGCTAGAGGGATAGTCTCGATCAGCTGAATGGTCTCCCTGTTCTTTTTGTCTATGTCTTCTAAGCTTGTTCACTTCCTGTTTCCCACAGTGTTTGTGATTTTTCCCATATCTTTTGCAAAGGTGTGAGCAATGCTTCTTTCTCCTGTTCGTTGGGTCCCCACTGATTGTGCACCTTCTGCTCCCAGCTCCGACAGTCCTGGTAGACGTAATGGAATCTGATGCAGTGATGCAGCAGGAGGTTTTTGGTCCAATTCTGCCTATCATCAACGTCAACTCCATGGAGGAAGCCATCGCCTTCATCAACAGGCACCAGAAACCGCTGGCCCTCTACGTTTACGCCACTAACACTAAGGTTGGGAGGTTTCTGAGCAAGGTCCCTGTATGGGTATTGAGAGCTACTGACAGAATGGCCCAGAGTGTTGGGAGCTCTGAGCTCATGCCATATGTGTACCATCTTCCAAACCTGGCCTGCATTGCCATGCTGGGTCCATGAGATGTTGCATGGAGATCCCTGAGCTGGATCCACAGCTTCAGGTTCCTGCTCTGTGTCACAGCTGGGTGTACCCCCTCCCCCAACCACAGGAGCAGGCCAAATGGCCAATGCTGCTATCACAGCCTGAGCAAGGCTTCCCTACTGGTCAGGGGGCTTATAATGATGTCTCTCTATTGGTCGGTGTGTTCTGATAGCTCGCTCTTATTTTGGTGGGTGTGTTCTGTATGATGTCTCTCTATTGGTCAGTATGGTCTGAATGATTTCTCTCTATTGGTCAAGGTATCTTGAATGCTTTCCCTCTAATGGTCAGTGTGTTCTGTATGATGTCTCTCTATTGGTCAGTGTGTTCTGCATGATGTCTCTCTATTGGTCAGTGTGTTCGGAATGATTTCTCTCTATTGGTCGGTGTGCTCCAAATGATGTCTCTCTATTGGTCAGGGTGTTTTGAATGCTGTCTCTCTATTGGTCAGTGTGTTCCCGATGATGCCTCTCTATTGGTCAGTGTGTTCTATATGATGTCTTTCTCTATTGGTCAGTGTGTTTGGTATGACGTCCCTCCATCTATTGGTTGGTGTGTTGTGGATGATGTTTCTCTATTAGTCAGTGTTTTCAGAATGGTGTCTCTCTATTGGCCAGGGTGTTTTGAATGATGCCTCGCTATTGGTCGGTATGGTCTGAACGATGTCTGTATTAGTCAGTGTATTCTGGATGATGTCTCTCCGTTGGTCAGTATATCCTGTATGAAGTCTCTCTATTGGACAATGTGTTTTGTATGATGTCTCTCTATTGATCGGTGTGTTCTGAATGATGTCTGTCTATTGGTCAGTGTGTTCTGAATGCTGTCTGTCTATTGGTCAGTATGTTCCGAATGAAGTCTCTCAATTGGTCAGTCTGAAGTTATAGCTATCTCCCTATTGGCCATTCTGTTCAGAATGATGTCTCCCTTTGAGCCCATGGGTCAGTCAATCCGACTGCATGGGCTGGTATTCCTGCACCACTCAATGCCTGTTTCCTGCAGGCCTAGAGGCGGAATAATCTCATATCCTAAACCTCCCACCTTAATCACGAGATAAATTGAGCAGACATGAACACTGAACAAGCTGTAAGACACAGGGCGATGATGTAACCCAACTCAATACCAACCATCTCCATCTCTTTCTCTCTCTGTTGTCTCCATCATCGTCTCTCTCAGTCTGTATCTCTCACTTACCCTCTCTCTGCTTCTGCCATTCTATCTCTATAAATCAGTCTCAATCTCTCACACACCGCATCTCCATCGTTCCATTGTCTCTATCTCTCTCCCTTTCTGCAAGCCTCTCCTTCTGTTGCACCTCATGTCTCTCTATCCTTTGCTTTCTCTTTCTATACCCTGTCTTATCTCTTACCCCTTCATCTTTCTCTCCCCTCTCTCTCTCTCTCTCCCTTTTTTTTTATTGGTTCCAACCTCTCCGTACCTCTCTGTTTATCAATCTGACCATGCGTGTGAGACCCGGATTTCCCAGAGCCTCTTGGCAACATCCTGTTAAATTAAAGCTGGATGTAAGCGCTGGGGTCACTATCCTGTCAGATCACTGAGTGTGGCTAAAGGAGCTGAAGCTATGGTCAATATAGATGGTTCGCATGGATCAGCTGGAATAACCCCGAAGGGCGGAGGAGCTTGTTAGACAATCTTTTGAACCAGAAAGTATTCGGATCTGACCCTCACTAATAATCCAAGACAAGACCCCTCCACCACTAACCCTCCACAAACCCTCCCTCCAAAGCCGGTTCCAGGTTAAATGGACCCCAGGGAGTGTTGTTGTACAGAGGCACCTAGGGTTGCAGGTTATTAAGTCCTTGAAAGTGGAGTCACAGGTAGATAGGGTAGTGAAGAAGGCATTTGGCTAGCTTGCCTTTATTGGTTAAAAGAATTGAGTAAAGGAGTTGGGAGGTCATGTCGCGCCTGTACAGGACACTTGTGAGGTCACGTTTAGAATACCGCATACAATCCTGGTCACCCTGCTATCGGAAGGATGTTGTTAAACTAGAAAGGATGCAGAAAATATTTACAAGGATGTTGCCAGGGCTGGAGGGTTTGAGCTATAGGAAGATGCTGAATGTTTTCCCTGGAATGTTGGCGGGTACAATTACAATATTTAAGAGACGGCACTGTGTCTCAGTGGGTTAGCACAGCTACCTCACAGCGTCAGGAACCCGGGTTCAATTCCACCCTCGGGCGACTGTCTTTGTGAAGTTTGCACATTCTCGCCGTGTCTGCGTGCTCCTGTTTCCTCCCACAGTCCAAAGATGTGCAGGTTAGGGTGGAGTGGCCGCGCTAAATTGTCCCGTAGTGTCTCAGGTGGGGAAAAATAGGGATGGTGTAGGGGTTGGGTCTGGGTGGGTGCTCCTCAGAGGGTCTGTGTGGACTCGATGGGCCAAATGGCCTGTTCCCACACTGTAGGGATTCTATCTCCATTCTACGTTTGGAAAGCAACGTAAATCAGAAAGGTTTAGAGGGGAAATGGGCCAGGCGCAGGCAGGCGGGACTAATTTGGTTGGGGATTCCTGGTTGGCATGGACAAGTTGGATCGCAGGGTCTGTTTCCCTACTGTATGACTGTGACTCTAAGAGAGTGACTAGTCCAGAAACAAACGATTGTTGACCAACAATCAGGACGCGCTACAACAAGAGACAGATGTCCTTGTACACCGGTCGCTGAAATTAAACATGGAGTTGTAGCAGGAGATAAATTGTACATTAGCCTTCACAAGGACAGGATTCGAGTACAGGAGCAAGGGTGTGTTACTGCAATTTAACAGGACCTTGGTGAGACCACCCCTGGAGTATTCAGTGGGGTTTGGGTTTCCTTATTGGAGGGAGGATGTTCTGGTGATGGAGGGGGTTCAGCGAAGGTTTAACAGACTGATTCCTGGGATGGCAGGAATGACACACAAAGAGAGACGGGATTATATTCACTGGAGTTTAGAAGAATGAGGGGGTTAATTCATCGAAATTGATAAAATATAAACAGTGCTAGACAGGGGGTAATTGCAGGAAGAGTGTTCCCAAAAACCAGGGGGATCTAGAATCGTGGGTCACGGTCTAAGGATACTGGGTAGGCCATTTAGATCTGAGATGGGGAGAAACGTCTTCACTCAGGGAATGGGGAGCCTGTGGAATTCTCTGCTATGGGAAGCAACTGAGGCCAAAACATTGAAAGTTTTCAAGAAGGAGTTAAGAGTTTTTGGGGTTAAAGAGATCAAAGGTTACGGGGAGAAAGCGGGAACAGGGCACTGAGTTGGAGGATCAGCCGTGGTTGTGTTGGATGGGGGAGCAGGCTCGCAGGGTTGAATGGCCCCACTCCCGCCCCCATGGTTCTATGTCTCAAACAGTCAGGGGGCGATGAGCAGAAGACCAAGAGTTTGTTGGGATTTCCCACAACAGCAAAAGACACTCGAGTTAAATGCAGCGAGTCCAGAAGCACAGCCACGCTTGTTCACCAGGATTGTGTTGGAGGGATTGTCATCTCGGATAGAGGTGAAGAGAATCATCCTCGCTCAGACGATGGTGACCCTGTGGAATTCTCCTCCACAAAAGGCTGCAGGGGCCAAGTCACTCCCCTCAGAAGGAATTAGATGAATCTCCAGAAGATTACTACGTCCAGGGGTATGGGGAGAGTGTGGGATGCTGGTGTTGAGACAGAGGATCCCATTCTCTCTCCCTGTCTCTCTGTTCCCATCTGTCTTTCTCTGTCTCTCTCAGTCCCTGCACCACCTTGCGGTATCTCTCACTCTCTGCCTCTTCCATTTGTTTCATTGTCTCTTTGGGTTTTTCGTTTTTGTTCTTTTACATTTCGTCTGTTTTTGTCGTTGTCTCACGTCCACACCATCTCTTACTCTCTGATTGTCACTGCCCTCCTGCCTTTATCTTGCTGCCTTTCCCTTTCTTTGTCTTTGTCCGCGTCTCTGTATTCCTCTCTCACCTCGTCTCCCACTTATTCTTCATCTCTTCCTATCTGTCTCTCTGTACCTTCACTATCTACTGTCTCTTTTGTTTTCCTGTGTTGTAGTCTGCCCCTTCTGCTTCTCTGCCTGTTTCTCACTTTCTGACTCTCTCCATGTGTCTCTATCTCTGCCTCTGTCCCTCTCTGGCTGTACGTCTGTCTCGATCTGTGTTTCTCTCTCTCTGTCTCTTTGCCTCTTCCTTTCTGTCTCACATCCTTTGTCCCAGAGAGAGATTTTCATCTCTCAGTCTTCCTTTCCCACTCTCTTGTCTCCCCCACTGTCTCTCTCTGTCTGCGTCGTTCCTGCCTGCCCCGTTCTTCTCTCTCATTCTCTGGCTCTGTCCCACTCTTTCTCTCCCTCTCTCTGTCTCCCACTTTTGCCCTCTCTTTTTCACTCCCCTTCCTCTATGTCTTCTCCCTCCCTTATTCAGTGTCTCTCCCAGCACCCCCAGCCGTCTCTGTTTCTACCAGCTGTGTGTTATCAACAAGCAGAGAATGAGACCCTGTAATTTTAGATGAACGTTTCCATCAGTGAGCTGACCCTGGCCGTGTTTCCAACTTGATGCTGTTTCCAGGTGGTGAATGAAATACTGGAGAAAACCAGCAGCGGGGGCTTCTGTTCCAATGAGAACATGGTGCAGTTGACTCTCAACACGTTGCCCTTCGGAGGGATTGGTAAGTCTTCCACTTGGTGCTCAGACCCATACAACAGAGTGGGAAAGGCCCAGACTCCAGCCGCGGCCTGTGCCCCTCATTCACTCATACACACGCTCTCTCAGATTCACTGATACTCTCACATACAGTCACTCTCTCTCTCACACACACACACACAAAAAACACAGACGTACACTTAATACATACACACACATACACACACACACACAAAACACAGACGTACATTTAATACATACACACACATACACACACGCACTTAACACATACACACACTTAACGCATAGACACACACGCGCACACATACTTAACACAGACACACACTTAATACATACACATGCACACACACAGACACACACTGAACACATACACATATTTATGCACACACATACACACACACTTAACACACAGTCTCACACACACATGCACACACTTAACACACACACCCACACCCACACACACACACACACACACACACTGGCACACATACACACATACAAGCAGACATACACACTTAACAAACACACACTCACACTTAACACATACACACACGTGCACACACACACACACACACAGACAGACACACACACACTCACACTCTCACACACACACACACACACACACACAGACACACACACACACAGACAGACAGACAAACACACACACACACACACACACACACACACATA